GGCCCCCTCTGGGGATGTCCCCGCAACCCAGGCACGTGCCCTTGACCAGAATCGAACCCGGGACCCTTCAGTCCGCAGACCGACGCTCTATGCACTGAGCCAAACCGGCCAGGGCCGAGGCAGAATCTAGGCTCTAGCTCTGCAGCCAATCAGAGCACAGGACTGTCTTCCCCGTTCAGACCGGGAGAAAGCGCACTGGCGTTTCCCGGTGGAAAAGGAGACCCATGACTCTGTCCCCAGGACCTAGCTTCCTAATCAACCAGAACAGGAGGTGACACGGGCCCATCGGACGGGAAGGTCTGGAGCCCAGAAACCCCCAGGACCTTCTGGGGAAGCACGGAAGTGTCCTTACCGCCATAGACCACTCCGAATTGCCCCGAGCCCAGTACCTCGTCTGGGAAGATCTGGTAGACAGTGGCGATGTCCTGCAGGGCAGGGACAGGGAGGGTCAGGGCTGCAAATGGAGATGGGGATCGAGGAGGCCGGGGAGGGCAGGAGAAGGGGGGAGTATGCAACGGGGAAGACATCCTTGGGGCCCTGGGGTGTGGACAGGGGTCTCACCACATTCTCTTGGATCTGACTGTTAGACACGGAGATGCTCAGAGAAGCTTGTCCTGGGGGAAGAGAGGAGGGGAGAGGCGGAGGTGAGGGGACCCCGAGCTCAGGATTCCATTCCTCCGTAACTCCAAAGGCAGCCTCTGGAGCCAGACCACCCAAGTCCGAATCCAGGCGTCCAGGGCGCCACGTCAGGCTACTGACTTGTCCACTGCGAACCTCAGTCTCCTCATCTGGAGAATGGGTATAAGATGAGGCCCTGCCTCCCAGGGCCAGGGGGGCGGGTGAGTGCCATGTGCTGAGGGGCTGGAGGGAGAAGTGATGTCACGAAGGATTTCGCTGAGCATTTCCTCCTGTGATCTCAGCGCCAAGCAAGGCATGCCGGTCCCATTTTATAGAGGAGGAAACTGAGGCTCCGGGGGAAAGTCCAAACTGGCTCCAGCATCTTCCCCTGAACTTGCCCCCCTGCCCACAAGTGACACGCCCAACGAGACCAGACATTTCCCAAGTCCTGGTCCTTCTGCCATTTCAATGTCTCTCCCCTCCCCACTGAGACGTCAGCGCTCAGCCTCTCCCCTCCCCTCCCTGCCCCAGCCCTGCTCTCTCCTATCCACCCTCCACAGGGGAGCCGGAGGGATCGTGCCGAAGCACACACTTGACCCCGTCCATCCCCTGCTGGGGACCTGCCCTGGCTCCCCAGTACCCGCAGGAGAAGCCCAGGCACCTTGCATGGCCTTTCAGGCAGGGTCTGGTCCCTCATCTACCTCTTTGACTTGAAGCCCTACTATGCTGCTGGGTGTCCCCACCACACGCGTCTCCTTGCTGGGCCTCAGGTATAGCAAGTTCTGTCCTGTCTCCAGGCCTTCGCACGTGCTGTTCCCTCTGCCAGGAATGTCCCCTTTCCCTTGTTATGGACTTAATTTAAAAACCCTCTTCCTGCCCTGGCCGGTGTGGCTCAGTGGGTTGAGCATCGTCCATGCACCGGAAGGTCACCGGTTCGATTATCAGTCAGGGCACATATGGGTTCGATCCCCGATCAAGGTGCATACGGGAGGTAATCAATTGATGTTTCTCTCTCCCTCCCTCTCCTTCTCCCTTCCATTCTATCTAAATCAATAAAAACGTTTTAATCCTCACCCAAGGATATTTTCCATTGATTTTTAGAGAGAGTGGAAGAGAGAGGAAAAGACAGAGAGAACTATGTATTTTTTAATTCTTTTATTGATCTCAGAGAGGGAGAAGGAGAGGGAGAGATAGAAACATCAATGATGAGAATCATTGATTGGCTGCCTCCTGCACACCCCCTACTGGGGATCGAGCCCACAACCCGAGCATGTGCCCTTGATCAGAATCGAAGCCGGGACCCTTCAGTCTGCAGACCGATGCTCTATCCACTGAGCCAAACCAGCCAGGGCTAAAAACATTTTTAAAAATTCTCCTCATCTTTCAGTCTCAGGCTCACTCCTGGGGCCGATGACTCTAGCGCAGTGATGGCGAACCTATGACACCTCTGACACGTGAACTCATTTTCTTGGTTGATTTTTCTTCGTTAAGTGGAATTTAAATATATAAAATAAATATCAAACATAGAAGTCTTTGTTTTACCGTGGTTGCAAATATCAAAAAATTTCTATATGTGACACGGCACCAGAGTTCAGTTAGGGTTTTTCAAAATGCTGACACGCTGAGCTCAAAAGGTTCACCATCACTGCTCTAGCGCGTGTTCTGTGTCTCAGCTGTCCTTGTACCAGATGATCTGATTAATGTCTGCCACCCACACTGGATTATAAGCTCCGAAGGCTGGCCACCTGGCACTCTCTCTGATCATCCTTCGCCTCTGCCCGGCATCATTTCCCATTTGCTTTCCCCTATCTCACTCCTCCTCAGCTTCCAGGTCTCAGCCCAGATGTTGCCTCCTCCAGGAAGCCCTTCTGGATACTCAGTCTGGGCCAGGCACCTCCTCTGGCCCTCTGCAGCCCTCTGGTTCCCATATCCCAGCCCTGCGGCTCACTATGAGGCATCACACCTAGAGGCAGCTCCATCTCCCCCGTGGGGGCAGGGGCTGGGCTGCCCTGGTCACAGCTGTGTCCCCAACACTATCCAGCAGAGGCAGGCAGAGGGGGCATTCAGTAAATGTATGAATTAAAAAGTCTAAACTCGCCCAGCTGGTGTGGCTCAGCGGTTGAGCATCGACCCGGGAAACAGGAGGTCCCGGGTTCGATTCCAGTCAGGGGCGCATGCCCGGGTTGCGGGCTCGATCCCCAGTGGGGGGTGTGCAGAAGGCAGCCAATTGATGGTTCTCTCTCATCCTTGATGTTTCTATCTCTGTCTCCCTTCCTCTCTCTCTCAAAACCATTAAAAACATATTTTAAATAAAAAAGTCTAAACTCACAATTCGGAGAAGTTGTCACCACCCGACAAAACTCAGAAAGAGAAAGTGACACGCCCAAAGCCACCCAGCAAGTGCAGGCCTTCGTGAAGGTTTGGGCCCAGGCCTCTGAGTCCAGAAGCCACATGTGTCCTGTGCCACTCCCTGCCTTCCCCTGGCTCTTCCCTCCCCCAGAACCCACGCGAGCCCTCCCCGACCCGTCCTCTTGGACGGGGGACTTACTGTGGGGCACGTGGCCTGGGGCGCTGGGCGCATCCTGGAGGATGACGGGCATCAGGGCCTGGCGGATGGCCGTTTCCCAGGCCCGGGCAGCCTCGGCCCCCTGTCCACTGGGCCCTCCTGGGGCCCCGCCCGGCGTCTCGCCCACGAAGTAGGTGGCATTGGCAGTGACGATCTCGAAGCAGTGTGGGTTGGTGCCTGGGGGCACGAGGCTGAAGTTCTGGGCGGGCTCCACGGTGAGGATCTCCGACAGCGGGATTTCCTGGCAGGACACAGAGCCAGCACGGGTGAGCTCACCTGGCAGACCCTGGAGCTCCCCGCTCACCGCGCACACAGAGTCCAGGGTCAGCGGTGAACTGGTTGCCATAGAGCGGTCAGGACAGGCGCCTGGTGGGACTTACACCGAAGCAAAGACCAGAAAGGAGAGGAGAGGCCGGCTGCTAGAGGACCGGTGGACACAGCACGTGCAAAGGCCTGAGGTGGGAAAGGCCATATCCCCATCTCACGGATGGTGCCTGGCACACAGTAGGGCTGCCGTGTTTGATGAATAAGTGAAGGAAATGAGTTAAGGCCAGGCCACACACGGCCTCATGGGCCACAGGGAGGACCCCAAGCTCTGTCTCCAGGGCCCTGGGAGCCATGGAAGGGTTTACAGCTACCTCTCTGGCTGTGTGTCAGGAGTGGATGGGAGCCCTAGCCTGCTGCTCAGTGGTTAGAGCGTTAGCCTACAGACTAAAGGGTCATGGATCCGATTCCCAGTTAAGGGCATGTGCCTTGGTTTGCAGGCTCAATCCCCAGCCTGGGTTGGGAGGCAACCAATTAATGTGTCTCTCTCACATCCACATCGATGTTTTTCTCTCTCTCCCCTCCTCCCTCCCTCTTTTCTCCTCTCTCTAAAAATCAATGGAGCCCAGCTGGCATGGCTCAGTGGTTGAGCATTACCCTATGAACCAGGAGGTCACAGTTTAATTCCCGGTCAGGGCACATGCCCAGGTTGCGGGCTCGAACCCTCAGTGGGGTGTGCAGGAGGCAGCCATTGATGATTCTGTCTCATCATTGATGCTTCTGTATCTCTCTCTCCTTCTCCTTTCCTCTCTGAAATAAATAAAAATATATTTAAAAAAATAAGAGTAAAAGTATGGGGTCATGTTATTGTGAGGATAATGAACTCTCTGGGGGAGCCTGGCAGGGAGATGGAGGTCCTGCTGTGTGATACCCAAAGTGTCCCTTCCAGTCATGGTTGGGTTCCTCTGGTTGCTGTTGCCCCCTCTGCTTAAATTTTATAGAAACAGTACTAGGTCCTGTGGTTGCCTGGGGCCCCTACAACACTGGCAGGGCTCTTTGTCTAAATTTTTGCCTTTGCC